TGTACCATATAAAATCTCTTTGCTGATCGGTCTATCTCTTAACATCAAATTCAAAACCAGCACAAAACAAATTCACTTGCAATTGATCTTCATTGAAATGGCACCCTAGTCCAAGAAATTTGTGGCCAGATCACCAGCACAAATTGATGCATCAGCACTATCAAACCAAGAATTTGATGGCAGGTTTTGCATCAGTGATATCTTCTCCAAATTATGACATTTAGCTACAACTGCTTTAGTAATAGATTTGCTAGTCCTGAGCTTCAAAGAATTGAAATAAAATTTTCCTCCTCCATGCAAATCATCATTAATTAAACACTAATGAAAAAAAATAAATTGCAATAAGCTCTTTTAATTAATAGCTTATGACAGGAGCAAAGTTAGTAGAACTTGATTGTCTTCAATGGGATTTTTATTAGGCACGATTGAACCTTTTGTTTCAATTATGTTTTTATTTGTTTTCTCATAACCAGGGGGGAGTAATATAATATTGAAGAGACTATAGGCAGTGAGCAAAGTCCACGCAGTAACAATCCAAATATGATGTGAAGCTAATGTTACCTCAATTCCCTGGCTACTATTTTCACTTCTCTTTACTCATGGTTGTGTGAAATTTGTTTATATAAATGATATGTCGTCTGGGAGAGAAGTAAAGGGAGAGGAAATGAAACTTATAGAAATAAGCAAACAATCAATTGGTTTGTAAGATAAAAATCCTAAACATTCAATTTTCCCTTTTCGCTCCTATTTTTCATACTTTTTAAACAAAAGAAGAAGTGAAAATTGTAGATGTCGATAAAGGATAGAGACCTCTAAAGATGCGGGCTTTTTCTTTGTGTGTATGCCTAAAACCAATGACCAAGTGCGAAGCTGTCTTGCTTAGTTAAAAAAAAAAATAGAATTGAAGATCAAGTGCGATGAAGTCCTTACCTTCTAATTCTTTCCAGCCATGGGCATCACCCTTTTTTTTATGCACCACTGAGCACCTTCAACATTTCGTCCTCATCCTTCATCCTTAGGTTGCCTAAAATTCTCAGTCATTACCTTTATTGCACAAAAATGAGGTAAGACAAAATGGAAATACATATTCTGCAATGGTTACCAATAATGATCCCATAGAAATGCTTGCCTTATCATCAAAACCTTAAATGCATTTTATCAAACACCTTGCGTGCCCTGGTTGATGGGTGGGGTTGTGGTGGTCCAACAGTGGTTTTGGATTGGCGTTTAATTGGCTAAGGTTTTGGCGTGATGATGGTTGGTGGCAGTGGACCAGTGAGTGGGGCTTGGGTTGTGGTGGCGGCTAAAAGAAACGGGGTAGTGACAATGGGGTGGGGTCGTGGTGATAGCCTTTGTTGATGGTTGGACAGGAAGGGGTGGTCGGGGTATTGTAGAATTGAAAGAGGGAGAAAAAGATAGAGTTACTTGAGAGAGAACGACACATTTGCTACCGCAGCTGGTCGTTACTATCCTTGCTTATTACCTTCGCCTTTGCCTTTGATTGAGTTTTGGGATTTTGAGGGTGAGCAAAGAGAGTTGGCAATGGAAAGAGCCAAAGTGAATAAGAAAGAGAGAGAGACGTTTGCTAGTGCTAATTAATGAATGAATTGAAGACCAGAGCGTTTTGGCTTTCTGAATAAAACTAACGTAGATGTAACAGGATATGCGAGATTAGGATTTGGGATACAAGTGGAATTTGGCATTTTATTAAAGTTAGTTTAATCAATTAAAAATTTTTCTACGTTTTTAGAAATAGTATAAATATAGATAATTATCCCAAAATTAGGATAGAAGCTATTTTTTTAAAAGATTTTAACTTTTAATTATAATACATTTTTTCTTTTTGAAACCAATTTAATATAATTAAGAATAATTTTAAAAAAACCCTTACAACTTTCTTTTCTTTCAAACAATTTAACAAAATCTTTGGACAAATTGTATTTTATACCCTAAAAAATTTAAAAAATTTTATTTTATACCTTCAAAAATAATTTTTTTATATTATATCCTTAATGTGTTAAAAATATTATAATGTGACACGTATATTAATTTCTATTATTATTTTTTTGTCAAAAATCTCTCCATTGATTTTATACATTCACAATAGAATATAAAATAAGTGAGAATTCTTACATCTTTAGATACATTCTCGCAAGGTTTTTTAACCAAATGCTAATATATATATATATATATATATATATATATTTATTTTTTTTTTTTTTTTTTTTTTCAATAGACAATAACCCCCTCCCCTTCCCCCAACTACGACCAACCCACCCACAAAACAATTTATCTGTAATAGCGCAAGCACAGAAACCTCGGCCATGGCGATCACAAGAATGACAGGCAAGTAACTTCCATTTTATTGTCGGTTTTATGTAATAAATCTTAACTAGCTGTTTACTTGTTGCCCTATTACTGAGATCTTATTTGTGGGTCAATCTGAACAGATTCACTATCTTTTTTGCTTAAGCCTGTTTCCCAAATCATGTCTTTTGGAAATATTTTCCTTGTCTTTATTTTCCGATTTTGCAAACAAAACCCATTTTCAGAAAACATGTTTAGAGGAATTTACAATGGCAAGCAATGTCACTTACCCGACATCGCGGCAGTACTGAGTCGGGTTTGGAGTGCCGGCGTAGATCTAATCATCATAAGTCTTCTGTATTTCTACAGCTCTAGCTTATAATTCAAGACCCATTTGAGCTTTTATGTTACAAGTGTTTTGGGTTTTCTTTGAAATTGCTAATTGACTTCATTTTTCTTGAGCTGTTTGGTTGCTGAGAAAACATTGGTTTTTTATTTAGGGGGGGACTAATTTGAGATCAAAGTTTACTTTGTAAAGCCCAATACAGTTAACTTATCAGCGTTTTTATATGGAGGATGAAAAGTAGGAGGATATACTTTCTATCCATCAAAGATGAAAAGTAAAAATTATATATTTTCTTTCTTTTGTATTTAGCTAGATGAATGGTAAATAAAAATGATTAATTTTTTTTTTGTGCTAGTTATGACAATCGAGTCATGTCGTATCAGATTCGTGTTGAGTCATAAAATTATGAATATTTTATATTTCTTATTCGCGTGTTAAGTCATTTTTAAGTTCAATTCGTATCATCATATTGAGTCGAAAATTTTTACTACTAGTTAAGATGAAAAAAATATTTTTTTTTATTTAAAATTTTTATTTTTATTATTTTTTTTATATATAAATACATATTTTATCATTATGTTTTTATATGAAACTAATGTATACATAATATATAGACAAATAAGATATATCTCAACACAAATAATTAACTTTTCATCAACTTTCTTTTCAATTATGAAAGGATTGATTTTGGTGAGTTGAAAGAAAAATTAATTTATCCCCTTTTCTATCTTTCTTATTTTTCTTTCTTCTCAAATATAATATTTTATTTATCCTTCCAACTTTACATCCTTCCATTTTTTCATCATACCAAACGGACCATAAGAGAAGTTGAACCTTTTGTGCTTGTGTGTTTCAAAGACAAAACATGCTATTCAAAATTTGAATTTTTTTGGTTTATATGATCTTTCATTCTTTCAGCAAGCAAATAGAATGAGTAGTTATTGGAAAGGGAAAGAGAAAGTTTGGCAATTTGTAGAGATTGGATTTTCTCACCATTTTTTCTCTGCAGGATTCGTGGATTAAAATTGTGAAACTTTGGTTTGGGTTTTTACGGTTGTAGGTCACTGGTGGATGGAGTCAAAAGCAGCACTTGCTATTGCGGAGACAGATGGTCTGGTTATCTATGATGTTTCCCCTCTTGCTTAACTATCTCTGTTCTCTCCCTCATTCTCAGCTATTTTGGTTTCTTTATATATTTTAATGTTTTTTTTAAATCTTGACGGTTTATTATTTGTGGCAGCAAGGCTTTTCTGTACAGTTGGTGTGCACCCGACAAGATGCAACCTAGGTATTCGTTCTTTTAGAATATTAACTAATGACAATTTATGTGCAAGTATGTATATATTGGGATGATTGCCCTGTTGGCTAATCACATTGATTTTTGGTCAATTTACTGAAAGAATAGTCGATCATTCCATCTGATTAAGATTAATTATTATGTAAGAGATCGATGCAAACTTAGTGCTTCCTTGCAATGGAGTTTTTTTTTCGGTTATTGGATGTTTAGACTTACACCAATTACTCTCGAGAGCTCTGAGTCGGTCATCTTAACTTGAACTAGTTTAAGGATATATATATCTCATGAAGAACAAAAGTGGCTAACTGTTAGGGGATTTGGAAAGTATGGAATCTGAGAACAAACTTAATCACTAGACCACCCCTAAAGATTTACAATAAAGATTCTATTATACAAGGAGGCACTTGTAAAAATGCCGACCTACCAAAATGAAGATGACAGGTTCCATCTCCTCACGTCGTAATAGCATAAACACATTAACCACAAAACAACTCTCCTACTTACATTATCTTCCTAATATCATCTTTCAAAAATATATATTACTATTGAGACCTTAATAGTCTAGCATATTGTTTTGGGAAAACTCTATAGCACCGTTTTTTTTTTTCATATCAGTATCGTCGGTTACTATTTTATATGGTAAAGTTACAACTTTGAAATGAGAAGTTACAACTGCTCAAGAGAGGTCATGATCGATCACAGACACTTATAATTGATCATAAAAAATACAGTATCGATCCCAATATTTTATGATCAATCATGCACATTAAAATTGTAATTTACACCTCAAAAAAGTAATAACTTAGCCTTAAAAAGTTGGTAATTTTTGGTACCGATATCGTCAGCGGTTTTATAGTTTCCCATTGTTTTGACCCAGTAATATGTTTAACTGATATCATTAAGGTTCCAATAATATTATTATTTAGTCTCAATAATCATACCGATAATTTAGCCCGATTTAAACTCTTGCAATGATAAAACTGTAGAAAATAACTAACATTTCATCAAGGTACAAGGAAAAAAAACAAGAAGGTGATAACTGATAAGCATTCAACCAAACCCTATGGTTGAATATATTTTTTGTAATGAATTCCACCCCACAGTGAAGAAGACAACAAACAAGGCGATCACCAGCAACAAAATGATCCCACAATAAGTCCACTTCCTGATATTCTTCTGGGCAACTGCACAAACAAGGCGATCACCGGCAACAAAATGATCCCACAATAATTCCTGATGCTTCCTCCTGGGCAAGTCTGGGAGAAAGCAGTCAATTGCTTTCACCAGACTCTCAATATCATCCACTTCCTTCTCCCCCTGGGTCTGCTGCACCAAAACCGCCATGTGAATTGAGCTATGGACTGAAAGAGAATAGGAGTTTTGGGGAGAGAGAAGGAATTGGAAGTAGGAAACCCAAGGGAGGGTACTCTCTTTTATTCTCTAATGGCTGCCTTACTGCGTAAGAAAGAGAGAGAGGCTCGTCAAATGACTTGCCGGTCAACAACTCAGAGAGAGGGAGAGAGAGGAAAATGTCTTAGAATAGTGTAGAGAAATGGACATAATCAATGAGGAGGAGAGACATGGTCTTAGCGCAAGGGTGGTTTTTTACCGGGCAGGCTACTTTTGTGGGAGACATGGGCGAATATTTGGTAGAATATGATTAGAGGATAAAAAATATAATAATATATATTTTTTTAAAAATAAAAAAATGAAAGGAAAGATTTCTCAAACGTCTCTCTAACAAATTATTTGTTTTATATATAGTAAAGAATATAGATGAATTGTGATTAATCTATAATTACACATTTGGCCAGCTTTATAGTTCCGGGACTTTTTACAATTGACTTTGATTACATATTTATGAGTTTTTTGTATTTACGTTCTTAATTTAAAAGTAAAATTATTTGAAGCTAGTCTACAATTAGCCTTTATTTTTTTTACGACTTTCTATTATTATTTTTGTCTGATAAATTAAAAGCGGAGATTGTGAGAATTCAACTTTCTTAGCATTCATCAAGGCAAGGGATGGAGAATAATTCAATGAGTAAAAAATTGTTGCTAAATTCAAAAAGTATATAAACACAATCTTGTCGAAAAAAAGGTTTATAAACACAAGGCTTAATTAGGCTAAAATTAGGATTTATAGTTACATAGAATCTGAGGAATTAAAGTAGTATTAAGGAGTGCAGTCTTAGCGATATAGGTATGTTTAGCTACTAAGCCCTTTCACGTCAATGTAGGTACATAAATTAACAAAGAAAAAACTTTCCACACTCCATACGATTTTCTCTTTCTGAAAGAAAAGGAAAATTTAACCAAAAAAAATTAGGATAAATTACACTCACACCCTTGTCATTTGACTAAATGACATAGAGACCCTCTGACATTTCTGAAATTACATGGAGGCCTGTTGTCGGTGTTAATAGGCGACCGGCGTTAACATAAATAATAAATGACTATTTTAATCCTTTAATTTAATTTAAAATAAATATATAATACAAAAAAATAAATTAATAAGTAAAAAAATATCTCTCTCCTACTCTCGCATCTCATTCATCCCTTACCCCCAGCCGATCGTCGCTACCACTCCTCCTCTCTTCTCTCTCCTTCCCTCGATCTTTACCAACCTGCAACTCTTCCCCGCCTCTCTCTCAGATCCCCCAAGGCCCCCAAGCCCATTCCCTATCTCTATCTCTCCCTCATATCACCTGTCCCCCGCCCCTCCCTGCAACAAACCCATCACACCTAACCCTTCCAACCTAGCTGCCACCACCATTCCCAACACACACACACACACACTCTCTCTCTCTCTCTCTCTCTGATCCCCTAGGCCCCCCGCCCCCTCCTTGCAACAAACTTTATCGCACCCAACCCCAACTCCAAACCCCTTATTTCTCTCTACCTCTCTCTTCTTCTCTCTCCTTCTCATATCCCTCAGGCCACCACCACCACTCTAAACTCACTACTCCCAACCCCTTCTTTCTCTTTCTACCTCTCTCTTTTCTTTCCCTCTCAAATCTCCTAGGCCCTGCCCCCTTCCTGCAACAAACCCCACTGCATCCAACCTTCCCACCTAGCTGCCACCACCACCACGACTCCAAACCCTCTCTAACACTCATAGATCCCTCAGTCTCCCACCCCTCCCCCCCACCCCAACTGCACCCAACCTTCCCAACCCCTATTTACCATCACCACTCTACACCCACCACTTCCAGTTGAATTAATTATCCTAGTTGATAGTAATTTTTTATTAATTTTAATCAAAATGAAATGGTTTAATGTTAATCTTTAATTAATTTTTATAATTGCATAATTAATGTCGTTAAAATGGTAAATTATTGATAATTAGTGGACAAGATTGTCTTAGAAAATGTTGGGCATTTTATATAGGGGTAATTTTTGAATTAGATAAATTTTGTTCCCTGACATCACTATTTTTATTAGTTAGACTAACGGCAAGAAGACAGAGGGGTGTTTGATTGTGTCATGATTTTTAAAACTCAGGGGTCACCGTGCAATTTTAAAAATGTCAGGGGGTCTCTATATTTTTTTGTAGTCAAATGTCAAAGGTTGTGATTGTAATTTACCCAAAAAAATTACGAAATGCCTACTCGGCTCATTAGAATCGTCATAATTCACAAACTCGACCAAATACCCAAATGACATAAAATTTTCATAATGTCCGAATAATGGATTATTTCCCAAATAAAAAACGGTGAGAATTTGTCTGGTACAAATCGACACCTTAGATGGTATAATTGTTAATTGAGTTGTGTCTATCGAATTTGTTTTTTTAAACGAGGTTAAAAAAATTTTCAAACTTGGCTCGTTTAGAAAATGAACCGAGTTCGACTAGCTCAATTATTTTACATATAATCGAGTTGAATTTTGTGAGCTTGTGGTTTAAATGATTCTAAAAAATTAATTAATATCAATTTGTTTAGAACACGAGCCGAGTCTTTTCCTAACTGAATTCGAGCTGGACCAAAATAGTTCGGCTCAATTATCAGCCACATAGATGAGACATAAGGGTCCATATTATGGAACCCAAATATACATTTTCTTTTTCTTACCTCTTCTAGATTATGTTTTAAGAACAAAGGGGTTCAAATAGTATGTGTTACCCTCTTTGTGTCAACTCCTGGCCGGGTGTAAACAAAGTTTCCAAAGGAAGGAAACTAAATTGCACATCACAAGCATTGATAGAATCATTCATTGTGCAGAAATAATCCATGCCATGCCTCCACTTTTGGTCGCTCCACACATTATTGCAGGCCAAAGCCAATGTGACAAGCATCAAGGGATTAATACAATGTCCATCGATACATCTCAGACTTGATATATAAAACACATGGAGTCAAATCTCCAGCGTAAATGCTCTTCCTGGGCTCAATGACTAGTTTTTCCACTGAATTTTTATTTTTTCTTGTTATAAGCAAGCCTAAAAATTTGTATTTTTACTCATAAAATTTATAAATTTTAGTGAAGAGCTTGCTGATTTATTTGGTTTGATGGGTATGAAAAAGGTGTAACCGTTTAGGTTTAGGATTTTTGTTAATGGATATAAGAAATGAAGTTTTTTGTCTGATAAGTTTTGAATAACAATCTAAAATATCTTTAACTTGTTCATGTGGTAAGCATGTGAGATATTTTGTCAAAATGACTTAATTGCTAAAATTAGCTTAGGCACTCAATCAATACGAAATATTAGTTCAAGAGCTTAATTGCTAAAATTTTGATATAAGAGTCATTTATGTAATATACCCTTTTAGATGATTGAGTTTGAGTTTGGAACAGATAAGAGAAGAAAAAATTTAGGAACTTAATTTATACAAAGATTATAGTTTAACGGTCATTTAAATATTTTATCTGATTTAGTTTGAATTTAGAACAAAGAAAAGAAGAAAACATTTAAGAACTTAGTTTGAATTTAGAAAAAGAGGAAAAGAAGAAAATATTTAGGAACTTAATTGATACAAGAATCATAGTTTCAGAGTTATTTGTATATTTTATTTTTGAAAAAAATACACCCAAACTTATTGTGGGAAGCATCATATGATTTTTTAAGAAAAATTTTGAATTTTATTTCAATAAATGAAATAATATAATATGAATTTTTGTTGTAAAATTTAAAATAATTGATATTTTAATTTTAATTAGATTATTTTTAATGTAATATTTTAAACTTGAAGAATCTAAATATTATAAGTATCAAATTTTTAGGGCCTGTATACAATTTACTAAGGAATAATAATGGTCGAGTGTAAATCTGTGTTACAAGTATATAATTTTAAGAAGTTTGTGTATAATATTTTCAATGTGAGGAGGTTTAGTTAATTAAGTGATAATTTGGGGGAATCTGAATGTAATTTTTCCTTCATTCTTATTGAGTTTGTGTTTTTGGAACAGAGAAGACAAGAAAAGATTCAGAGTGGGACTGGGATTGCACCTGAATTTTGAGATAAAAATGGAATTAAATTGGGATCAGCGAAAGGAAATTTAGATTTGATATCGGAAGAGAAGTCCGGGGCCTTGAGATTGGAAAGAGATTGACATTGGGACATCCCAGCGGCCAGACGAGAAGCGATGGAGCAGAAGAGAATTAAATCAAGCGGTGGCAGTGGCAGTGGCAGTGGCAGTGGCGGTGTTCGTGGTGGCCGTGGCAGTGGCAGTGTTGGAGTTTCGGAGCTTTCTCATGATTTAGCGATCAAAGTTCTAACAAAGCTCCCGGCGAAGTCTCTTATGCGATTTAAATGCGTATCAAAGCTCTGGTTCTCAACCATCACCGACCCTCACTTTTCGAACGATCACCGTGCTTGTTCTCGTTCGCGCTCTACTTTCTTGATGGCATATCCCGACAAAGACATCGACGGCGATTACTTTCGCTTCTTCTACGCAGTCCGGGGCGAATCAGTAATCCGCCACCAATTCAGTGTGTCCCTCTCCGAGTACGACGGAGTTACTGAAGTCATTAACGGTCTCTTTTGCTTGCACGCCAATTGTCGCCCCTTCCTTTGCAACATCTCTACCCATGAAATCATGGAGCTTCCTATCCCAGGTACTACAACTTGCTTAACCTATGATTATTATTTCGGGTTTCATCCTACTACTAAGGAATACAAGTTGCTTCACTCTGGGCAAGGACGCGTCGTGGAGACAAACACATCGTCCGCCCTGTAAGTTACTGGCACAAAGTGTTTGCGTTAATGGAGCTTTGTGTTGGATGTGTCCGCTGGGAAGGGAATCGAGGTCCGAACTCTATTGGATTGCTTTTAGTCTCAAACACGAAAGGTTTAAAGTGATTCAAAAGCCTTCAGAGACCTTCAAACACTGCCAGTTTGTACAACTTGGAGGCCACCCGGCTCTGATAGGTTTAGGAGATCAGAGGTTTGGTTTGGACGGTGTGTTTGACATCTGGATATTTAAGAAGGACTATGAAAGACGGTCATGGTGGTGGATGAAGAGGGTCATTCGGATTCCAAGTGAATTGACCATTGATGAATGTTGTGCTCCTGCTGCCAACATATCTACTGGTGAGTTATTACTGACTGGTGGAAGGATTAATTCACCTATGTCTGTTTATTTATATGATTGTACCAAAAGAAGGTTTGAAAAGTTTCTAATTCACAAGTTCCCCTCATTCCCAATATTAATTGGAAAGAACGCGAACAAGTTCCGTATATACTGTCAAGAGGAAGATATCAGATCATTGAATGATTTGATTTGCAGCAAATAATTTGTCAAGAACCAAGGACACTAGGACAACTACACCGAATGATCCTACTTTCTAAAGTTATTTTTCGAATTTGAACTCTTCTTTCTAAAGCTTTTGGTTTTATTGAAATCTTATGACAAACCGTAGTAGTTAGATATCATTGCTTTTGTGTGTCTTTTTAACTAGTAAATGTGATGTGTTCATGAATGATTTTGAAATTTACTGCCTCTGTTTTCACTATGTAACGTTTGCTGATGACTGTCATTTTGATGTTAGGGCATGAATAACTCAAATCTTTTATGTTTAACTAGATCTCTGCTTATTCGGTTGTTCCAATTAAATCATTTAAAGAAATACGGAACAAAAGTATAATGTTGTTTTGGAATACTATATTGTCGAAGTCTTTTGACAGTTGCAATATTTGATGTGGCCACTAATATTTTGGGCAAACAATGATAAGGTAAAGGAAGAAATAATTGGAAAAATGAAAGAGATGAAGTAAAAATTAGGTGGGGAGAGAAGGGATTAGTTATATTGGAACAAGTGGAGAGGAAAATGTTATAGGTATGCCACTGACATGTACTCTAAGTGTGCCGTATATTACATATATTCAGTCTATCGTGGCAATTCTGTATATGCCGGTAAAACTTGCAGGTGGAGGTATTACTAGAAGTTTAATACAATGTTGTGGTTTAGGTTTTCGAAGAATCCTGCATCCATCGGATAGATGGCCTGGCAGGCCTTCCCTTTCTGCTGGAACTTCATGGGCGTTGTCCCGGTTTTGTGTATCATAGAGAAGATTTTCTTGTTTAAGATTGTCACAAGGCATAAATATGGTTGGACTTTTGTTGGTCTGTATAAGTATTTATAAGACTTGGACATGTGGTTATTGAAGTATGCGATCCAAATATGTAGGGCCAATTATGCCATCTTTGACTTGTCCTGGGGTTATTGCACAAATAGGTTTTCATTTTTCCCATGTTCATTTGTTGTTTATTGCAAAAAGGGGTGTAACATGCATTCTTCATGCCTCTTTCATGACATTTTTACTTTTCTTTTCACTGTTTTGCTTGTAATTGCAGTAGATTTAGTTATCTTGATGATAGTCCTATACATATGGGAAGCTAACTCATAAAGTCCATTGTGAAGAGTCTCCAAGTTGATAATATACAAGTATGAGAACTCCTAAAAGCATGAGTATTTCAGTCATGGCAAAGCCTAAACCTGTGCTTAGTCCCAACCCTGAAATAGTTGATTGTTGCCATGGTCCTAAAAAAGCTTAAATTAAATGATACGTTTTTAATCTTTTTTTCGATGTTGCGTACACGATCATTGATTCTTTGCATTGTCTTGTGAATTAGTTTAGTCTTTTGTATCCTTAGAAGAGGAAGTGAAAGCTGAATGCTAATTAGCAAGTTTCATATTTGAGTCGACTCCAAATGGTTGAGACAACGTTTAGTCGAGGGGATATTAATTGAACTCAGTATATCCCCGTGCCTTTGAAGGTTGATTCACCTGGTCCCTCCTATCAAGTGGCCAACATTTGGATATCAAAATTTAAATGTTTTTTGTATTCTTTTGTTTTACTTAAAAATCGCATAGCCTGTAATTGGTACTTGTATATGGTTACTTCCTGTGTTGTGATTTCTCGAGTTTGTTAGAGGTCATGCATGTGTCATGAGACATAATCTTTGATTTTTCCTATAAACTAATCTTTGCTGAATCGAATGATTAAATTCCAGAATGCCATGGTCGCAAATTAAGCCCTAAGCAGAAACATATGGTCCACTGGGCCATGGTTTGGGCTTGCCCATCATCTTATGGCCTGTGGACAGCCCAATAGCTCGATGAATTTTACGGAAAATTGTAAAGAGATATAAGAAATTAGAGTTATTTGTCAAAAATTACATAAATATTAATGTTATGTCATTAAATCCTTATTTTTAAAACTTAATTGTGTCTCATTACACAGGTTGATTTTTTGTGATTTTCTTTTGACATATTTCTTCTCCCTTAAATTATTCATATTTCTTTTGACAGTTAATTAAATTTTTGATTTTGTTTTATTATATGAAAGATTTTCTAATATAATAGAAGAATTATATTATCAGAAGATTTTCATATAACATTGATTATGTATATATTTGTCATTTTGAATTTTATTTTTTTTTGTTATTATCGTTGACAGTAAACATCTATTTCTTCTTCTTTTCCAAATTATCTACCATTAACGTTCGGAAAAACTCAAACCCATCATCTTTATTATTCTCCGATGAACACGGAAAAGTTTGAACATATCGTATTTCTTCTTCTACAATATTCATATATTATCAGGTTGAACTTATGCTTGCTTTCAATTTTTTTTATTTTATTCGTTCCACATACTATTAGTTAGTTTGAAATTTTTTTTTCATAATTTTCGTATTCGTTTCTATTTATTGTGTTGAGTGGTCACTTTTTTGATTAACTTTTCTTCTTTCAAATAATTATTTGTTAATTTTAATATTTTTATGTTTTATGAATTTTTTTATAGTTTCGTTTTTGAATACTGAATACTACAATAATGACTATTGTTTGAATTCTAAATTGTATTTTTATCTTCTATTTTTGTTGTAGTTTCTTCGAGACTAACAAATAATATGAATTTGTTCAATTCATAAGTACATGGTATTAAAATTACTTTATAATTTGAATTCATATGAAATTATAATTTAAAAATGTATCAATACAGTATGACATTAAAAGGTTTATGAAATTAAATGTCTAATTTTTGTATATCTACAAACATAATATCAAATACATGTGATTTATCCCAACAAAAAATCAACTACAATCACTAATAGAAAAAAATGTTCAAAATTATATGATTATGGTCTATTTACAAAAATTTAAAGTGTATTAATACATTGTAGTAAAACAGTGTAGGAGTAATAAAAATTAGGCTTCATAGTGTGATTTCATAGTATTAATTTTTTGTTAAACTCTTAAATTTTAGGATTTATCATATTAGAACTCGCGTGACCAAATTAAATGTAATGCAAAATCAAAATTATTTAATTTTTGTATTTTTTAAGATAAGATAATTTAAATTCCTTAATTTTCGTTGTCAAATTTCAAAAGTTTTCAAAAACTTTGAAATGTATCTCTAAAAAAATAGAGATGAATTATTATGGGTTTTGGTTTTCATAAATTTTAGATTTTTGTTTTATTAGAACATATATATATATATATAATAAAACAGAAGTGTGTTTGAATTTTATCTTAGTTATATTTTTCTCCTCAAAACTATCATCAATCACTTATCTCACCCATCATCTTTTTGTCAGAGTCAAACGTCAAATCACATCACTCATTTATATCACATATTTAATCATTTATTTATTTTCTCCCTGAAAATATCACACCACTCATTTCTATTATATATTTAATTATTTATTATTTAATTAATTTACAGTTAATATATTTTGAAAAAATTTAATATAGTGGGATCTATTTTTTAGATGTTCAAATTTTAATTTTATCGTGTCTTCATGCACGGGTTATAACTAGTATATATATATATACTTAACCAAATTAAATTTAATAAAAAATAACTTTAATTTCTTAATTTTAGTTGTCAAATTTCATAAAGTTTCTAAAATTTTTGAAACATATCCCTAAAAAAAAAAAAGAAATAATGGGATAGAAAGAGAAAGAGACCGAGAGTTATGAAGAAGATTTATTATAAGTTTTGGAAAACGGTTGTATACTAAAAGGATATTCAAGACTTTATATATCATAAGTGCACTTTTTTATAAAATATTTTTTATTATGTGCTTTTTGACCATTAAATTTAATTTAATATACCGACTTTCATGGGCAGAGCCACATAAGAACCAGGGTGGGCACTTGCCTCCCCTTATTTTTGGATCACCTTAGATGAGGACTCATAAAATTATTTTATACATTATATTTGTCTTTGCTAAATTTTTGAAAATTGTAATAATAATTCTAATGTTTTCTTTTTTCAATAAATTAGTGGTCCATTAACCCTCTAAAATAAATATGTTAGTTTTAGATTGAGTCAATTAGATGTAACTATTCAAATCTATTTGTATATTAACAAAAATATAATATTTATCTTTATCTAATACAATATTCATTACTTGAAGTGAAGATTCAATTGTAAAAATAGACACGCTTGTTCGATCACCTCCCTCGTAAGTACAACATCATTTTAACATATTATATATATATGGAAAAAAATAATACTATTTGAATTTGATAATCTATTTTATATATATATATATATATATATATATATATATATATATATATATATATATATATTTTATTCATAATTATTATTATAAAATCAATTATATCTACTTATATACTTGCATCTAATTTATATTTTTTACATTTATTTGACTTTCAACTTATTTTAAACCCTTTTATAACAACTTCTAAATTTTTTTGAACTCATTTATTAGTAGTACTAGGGGTAACCCGTGTTTGAAAGTACGGTGTAATGTTAATGATTTTGAAAGACATGTTGGTAACAGTTGGATGAGTTTATTTGAAACCGTCGGATGAACTTATTGAAGTCTATCATGTTTCATATTATAGATAGTTACATACACTTATCTATATCTATATAAAGAAATAAAGTTCTATATATATTCAATTGTTATACACATGTAGTTATCAGGTTGAATTTTACGGTTCAACATATATTATATTTTATTTTTTGGTATATAATAATACAATAATATTATGAGCGATCTAATCAATTTATTTAACAAAATAAAAAATAATAATTCCATCGATGTGCAAATGTCTAAAAAGAACTAAGAAATACCTAAATAAATGACAAATTAGGTACTCAAAAACTTATAAAATAAATTAATAATTAAATTTAGTAATAATTAAAATATAAATTAATTAAAACACGGATTAATGATTTGATATCTAATTTATTATTTAATTTAATTACATATATAATTCACGTTTTTTATAAAAATAATATTATTTTAATTTATCTTACCAATAATTTTTTTTTCTTTTTTTCTCTTGCTCAATCATTTCAATGCCTATAATTTGAGGGCTAAGAAAAAAAGCTTCTCTCGAATTCGAAGATGTGGCAACTAAATAAAATGTCACCTGACATCTTTAGTGCCAAGTATTAGATAAGATTCTTAAATTCTAGGAGTATTTATTGATGATCCCATTCAATTGAGACTCATGAAGCAATAAGAAAATAATGTCTTAGAAACTTAATTGGAGGATGTAATTTATTGCAATTATTAAATTAGTTTTGAGTTTCAAGATTGGATAAAATTCACTTTTAATTCAAACAATCATTTTGAAAAAGAATATAAAACTAGCAAGCACAAATGTATATATAGAGAAAGAAAATGAATGTGATCCCATTCAAACAAATCCCTATGGTTGAATATATTTGTGTTACCCCAACGCCCTTATCGTAAAGAGAGTGATAACCGAGATGATCAGTATACTCGGAATGTACATACCATGCATCCACTTCAGAAAGTGGCTATCGTTGGCCGTGGTGGAGGCGGGTCCTGAGGAACCCGAGCTCCATCAAAGATGAAACGACTTGGTTATCCATCTTGGACCTGAGGTCCTTGATGGACTCTTGGTTATGCAGAGTTTCGCTTTGCTCGTTCGCGGTTTTCAGCTGATTGTAGAGAGTTTCGAGGTCTCTTAGCTCGTTCTTGATGGCCTCTACATTCTCAAAGAACTTGTCAAAGTTCACTGCGCCATTAGAGGGTGAGTTTTCCATCTGGAAGGATGATATTGGGATTGTTCTCGCTGCGTAACCGACCGAGAGAGAGCCTGAAAAGTGGTCATTATTTTGCAGTTTTGTAGGGTTGAAAAACTTGGAATTGGCAGAGGATCAGATATTAAATATGATCAATATGGGAGGTCGGGGGTGATGGTAAAAAGAAACGTATGAGGGGTTATGGAGGGGAAAGAAAAACAGTGAGGGGTTATGGAGGAGAAGTGAATGGGTTATAAAGGCAGAGAGGGGAGAGTTTCTGGGAAAGAAGGAATGGAAGTGGTGCAATGGAGAAATAGAAGTGGGGCAAAGGAGAATGCTAAGAGATTACTCGAATAGACTTCACCGGTGAGATCATAAAGTTCTAAAGAGCATTTATTACTATTCTCGAGAACGAACTTAATTAAACTAATAGAACGATTAACTACTAAATCTCAATATAAATTCTAAGATTCAATTTTTCGACCGCAGGGACCACTAGAAACCACGGGAGTATACATTTTGTTCTCAAATGGCTGCCTGAATGGATCAGAAAGAAAGACTAGTCAGATGGGTTGCGTGTTCAACAACTGATCAGCAAAGAAAGAAAAGTCATCTGATGTTGATTTATACTCGGAGAGATCCGATCCGAGTATCCTGTAAAGGAGTAGAGAAATGGACATAATTTTTTGGAGGGTTGTCTGTGTTTTGTCCAAAAAGGTCGGTATTTGGAAGATTGCTCTTGGAAGAAACAAAGTTGGATAACAGTTCTAGATTCATTTGGTTTTAATTATAAATTGACCCTCTCAAATTTGGGTCATATTGCAATAGACTCCTCTTTTCAATTTAAACAGTTTATTTGAAATTAACCCCAACTACTCCATTGACGATCAAATATGAAGTACGGATACTTTGTTAAGGTTGATGTATCTGTATCGAATATAATACTTATCGGATACTCGATGATACATATCAGATACACACTAAACGTATCCAAAAATAAATAAAATATATTAATATTTCTATATGCATAGAAGTATGTGTAATTTTTAGTTTAAATTTTTACCCATTCTTTTTTATTTCACATACAATACTATATAATACATCAACAATAATTCATATGACTTTAAAGACATATGGATGTTTTCCAAGTCTTATCCACTATCACATCTCCAAAGCGTATAAATGAGGTGATTACGCTATAATCTTAGCAACAAATACTTAGAAACAAACAATCTACTTAAATATTGGTTCTTATTCCTTTAATTAATCACATTTACTTTGTAGATATACTATAGTGAGACAATAGGTGACTTTTTGAAAATAAAAAACTACTAATGTTATTAATTATTGTTAAAGAATCATTAAAAATTATAGTTATCAAGTCATTACATAATAGTATAACTATAAAATATATGTTTTTACAAACATATCCTAACCATACCTATATCCTATATTTTAGGATTTTTGTCGTATCATCGTATCATATCGTATCGTACATATATCTTTCATTTATACCCATGCTTCCTAAGTTGAAATGTTTCAAATGATGAAGACCATGGGCACAGGTTTTAAATGTAGAAGCCGATATGAACTATGAATCAAATGGTTGGGATACTTGGTTTCTTATGGATGGAATTCTTTCTTCTTTCTTTGTTAATCTTATTCATGTTTGAATCATGACAAGGAAAGAGGACCCTTATAGAATATTACTCATTTATTTGGTTAATAAAGTTCGTACACTTCGTTAATTTTAGTGGCGATGTTGTTTGATTTGCTGAAATTTGTTAATTTTGGCTTTGTAGGTTGAACTAGGGTTTGTGATTTGGACATCTTTCTAGAACTGCTTTGTTTTTATAATCTTAAGTGGACTTTGAAATGCTGCTGCATGCAGGTGGGACGAAAAGGGATTAATGGAAAAAATGGAGTGGAAAATGATTTAGGTATGTCGCTTGTTGGGTGGATGATATCCATATGACATATACAAGAACAAACAGTAACACATAAAAATAACTGATCCGATTGTAAATCAGGAAAATAAATTGAATTTTTAGATTAAGACTACTATTTGACACTATATCCTTAAAATAGATTTTGCCCCCACATTGGTGCTAATGAAAATCTCGACCTCTACTTTTCAGGATACAAAATCGATACGCAAACAAAAATAACACCTCAATTTATTTACCCAGTAAACCAAACTATGTTGTGTACTCTCCGTTATGAAAAATCTAATGCAAACACTCAATGTAATCTAAAACTACGAAAATGATTAATTTTTAAATGCATGTGATTTATATAGTCAGAATGGTGACTGTTCTTGACAGTCACCATTCGAACTGACGCAACCTGGAAGGCGTGAGAAATTTTGGTTCCAATGGGCAGGAAATTAAAAATAGGTTAAAAATTTAGGATCTAATTTGCCAAATAATTTTCACCAAATACTTAAGGTTAAATCTTAACCACACCTGGCATGGGTAGGCAAGTTGCGGTCGCACGCATTTGTCAAACTCAAGCCCACGTAGGTCCTCCCTTGTCCACAAAATTTTGGTGCTACTTAAAGCCAAACCTACAAAGTAAACTTGAGGTAAATATGCTCGTCAAACCTTTATTTTCCAATTAATGTGGGATTAATGTTATATCCTACATTATCTAACATTTTTTTCATATTTTAAGAGAATCACTTTAAAACTAATTTTCTAATTCATTTTTTATTGAATTTGAGCAATTGAATATATTACGTTATTCCGCTCACGAAGTAGAACACGAACTCATAAAAATTTACTCAAAAAAAATGAGTGTGTCTCACTTTAATTTAAATTAAAAATCAACCAAAAATCAAATATTTTAATACCAAAAAACTGTTAGTCCAACAACCCGACATGTCTAAGTGTAGCATATCCTACCTATATTCAGTCTTTCAAAGGCAATTCTGTATATGCCGATAAATCTTGTAGGTGGAGGTCTTACTAAAAGTTAATACAATGTTGTGGTTTAGGTTTTACATGTTCAGTTGAATTGTGTTTTGGTAGAGCCACGTAAGGACCACGTGTCGATCCCCAATTGTTTTGTCTTCAAGTATATCTAATTATGTTCACCTTCTTCTTTTTTTGACATTAATTTTATTAGTCATTAATTAATAATGAAGTCATCATACAAACTATCACACAACGTTGGCAATTAGGATAAAACTTGTTACAATACCCACCCAAATATTTTTTTCTGACTTCACCTCACCCTGCTTGTGTTGACGTTTTTAATGCTCTTTTTCGAAGAATTCTACGCACATGGGCTTTCCGTTTCCGCCAGAGCTTCATGGTTTTGACCTAGTTTTGTGGTTATCATAGAGAAGATGTTCTGACAAAGGTTGTCACAAGGTCGTAAATGTGGTTGGACTTTTGTTGGTGTTTATAAGTATTTATCCTACTTGGACATGTAATTATTGAATACATTTACCCGTTTGATAACACTTTGAAGTATTATTCTTTCATGATATTGTTTATAGTTTTTTTTATTGTTTTGCTTGTCATTTCTTGTAATTGCAGTAGATTTAGTAATCTAGATGACAGTCGTAGACATATGGGAAGCTAACTCATACAATCCATTGCGAAGAATCTCCAAGCTGATGGTAAATGCATGTGATGATATACAGGAACTCCCAAAAGTATGAGTATTTTCAGTCATGGTAAAGCTTAAACCTGTGCTAAGTCCCAAAACTCTTTTTTAGTTGATTGTTGCCATGATGCTTCGGATTGTCTTGTGATATAGTTTAGTACTTTGTACCCCTAGAAGTGATAGCGAAAGCTGATGCTTTATCATTGTGATTACTTGATGCTTTATAAAAAGTGAAATTTGACTTACCATTTTTTGTGACAATAATTTAAGTGCATCGTACATGTACATTTACTAATATAATAAAATGTACATTTACTAGTACAATTAGAATACATTTGTATTACCACCACGGCCCTGCCATGAAGAGAGCCGTAGCCAATATGAACACGATAAGCAGAATTATCGTATAAATTATAAACTTATTGAAGGAAGCGGTGGAGCTGTGAAGTGCTTGGAGGCGGGTCTGGAGGAACATGACCTTCTTAAAAGATGAAACAACCTGGTTGTCCATCTTGGACCTGAGCTCCTTGATGGACTCTGGATTACGCAGAGTTTTGCTTTGCTCCTGTGCGAATTGCAGCTGATTGTAGAGAGTTTCGAGGTTTCTCAGATCGGCCTTGATGTCCTCCATATCTTCGAAGAACTTGTCAAAGTCCGCTTTGCCATTGGAGGGTGAGTTTGTCATCTGAATGGTATGATATTGAGATTGATCTCGCTGCGAAACCGACCGAGAGAGAGCCTGAAAAAAGTTCATAGTTTTGTACGGTTGAAAAACTTGGAATTGGCAGAGGATTAGATATGAGATATATGATCAAATATCGTAGGTGGGGTTGATGGTAAAAAGAAAACTGTGAGGGGTTATGGAGGAGAATCGAACTGGGCCTTATAAGGGCAGAGAAGAGGGAAATTCCGGGAAAGAAGGAATGGGAAGCTAGAAACCGCGGGAGGGTACTCTTTATTCTTAATTGGCCGCCTGAATGTATTGATATCACCCCGGGAGGTTTTGCGGGAACCGGTCAAACTTCTCGCCGGTGATTAAAAGCTCGATTCTTAGAATTTAGATCGAAAGTGAATGACTGACTATTATGCTAATCTAATTAAGTTCGTTTTTAAGATGTGTAATATGCATAGTCAAAAATCTCATGATTTTACTAATGAGGATCTATCGAAATGATTTCTAAACACTCTCTTTCTCCTCCGCACCATTTTATAGAAAAAAAAGAAAACAAAACAAAAAAAAATAAGAATATATCCATATTGACCCGGCAATGGGTTCAACAGCTGGAGAGAAAAAAAGAAAAGTCATCTAATATCCATATTTAAGAGAACAAGGACTGGGAATAACGAAACCACGTGGTATGCACACATCTGATAAAAAATGGGTGAGATCTTTTTCGCCCCTTAAATATCCGTTTTCATCTCCTTTTAATTTTTTTATTTTAAACTACTAAGTTCACTCTATTTATATTCATATCATTAAACTATTAAATATATATTTCAAGGAAGCTGAAACAAAACAGTAATTGAAAAAAAAAATTAATAATTCGAAGTGATCTAGAATATTTCGAGGTGTTTTGAGATATTTTGACATATTTTCAGTAATATGTTTGAAATATTTCGAGGTCTTTTATGAAATTTTGACTAGTATTTTAGAAATAAATTAATAATTTTTATTCAATTTTCATTTATTTTTGAAATATTTACATATCAAAATAGTGCACTAAAACGAAATTTTAATCATTATTTGAAAAGTAAGTTGAAAAAAAATGGGATGGATTTAGTTTTTAATTGATAATTATAGATAAAGCAAGTTTAATAACTAATGGGGTGAGTATAGATAGGGTGAATTAATAATTTAAAAAAAAATAGTCCCCACTCATTAAAAATTGCTATGCCAGATATTTAAGTTGGTTTTTTTTTTTTAATTTTTTTTTAAATTGATGAATGACAATATATAATTTCTAATTGACTATGTACATCATCTAACATTGCCAAATTATGTGTTAAATTCATAAAAAATTTCTCAGTCTGATGTGTTGCGGGTTCAACAAATCATCTGATATTGATGGATACTCACAGAATTTTCCGGAAAAAGAGAAGAGAAATGGACTAATTTTGTTGGTGTGTATTTTTTTCTGGAGGGTTGTTTTTGTTTGTCGCAAAAGTATTTGGAAGAGAAAAGTTGGATCACAATTGGAGATTCAGGTGGACTTTTAAATGGTTGATTGACCTTGTGCAAAATATACACAAGCCAAAATGGTTAGTATAAACTCAGAAATTTATGGTATCCTGTAAAATATTTTAGTAAATTATGGGGGGTGTGAGTATAATTTTTCAACACATGAAATTCCTCGCAAGATAGGAATTGAGACCAACTGGGGAAAGGACTCTCTGTGGCCTAAGCGTCTATATACAGAAATGGTTGCGATGGAAATAGAAATTGGTATTAAAATTGGCATCGAGTTTGGGAGAGAAGTGAACGAAAGATTCAGATCGTGGTTGGGATTGGGGTTGGTTTCAGCGAAGCTCGCGATGGTGAAGAAGAGAATAAAGGCAAGCGGCGTCGCTGGCGGTGGCGGTGGCGGTGGCGGTGGCGGAGTTTCGGAGCTTCCTCATGATTTGGTGATCGAAGTGCTCACAAGGCTTCCGGCGAAGTCTCTTATGCGATTTAAGTGCGTGTCAAAACTCTGGATCGAAGTGCTCACTTTGCGACGACCCACCGTGTTCGTTCCCGGTCTCGCTCTACTTTCATCACCGGCGATTACCTCAGCTTCTTCTACCCTGCCCTCCTGGCCGAAGTCACTAATGGCCTCTTTTGTTTGCACTTATGAATCACGGATTCTTTGTTGCGGTAGTTGTATCCATATCTGTGGAGGGAATCTAATCGGATATTACGGAGGCGTACGATTAAAGACATCCTTGTTCGTTTTAATTTAAAAACTATTGTTACATATTTTAAAATTCAAATTAATGTCTTTTTTTTAATTATTTAAATAGCTTGGTCTTGTTACATAAGATAAATTAATACCAAATTTTTTCACAGCACAAAAGTCTTATAAATATTATGTAGGGAGAGAGGGAAGAGAGTAGGAGACTATTAACTTTAGGTGAAATATCAAAGGTGTGTAATCTGTTGGATTGTCTTAACTTTATATAGGCAACCAATGATATTAAAAGATACATTCTATAGGGACATGTTTGTTAATATTTAATAGACATATTCTTTGAGTGGTAAAGAATATTTTCAAAAGACACGCCTCTTTGAGCATTCTTTAATTTGGGTCAACCCACCATGGGCGCCCTTATTCGAATCCATGATCCAATCAATATCTAACAATATCGAATATTGTATCGAATATAATATTATTGGATATTCGATAATAAATTTTGGATACATATCCAATAATAAATAAAATATATAAATACTTTACGAATACTTTTATATGCAGTGACAATTTTAACTCATTACCCATTAATCTGTCCATAAATAAATGGATTGGGGTACCTATATTAATTAATATTGGTTCTAAATGGGTTGGATAATATGATTCATTTTAATTAAGCGGGTTAATATGGATTACAAATGGGTACCCATTTGGTTGAGTATTTATCTGTTTATTAAATAACACAAGTAATAAAATTAAATAAATATTCTAATATACCAAAAAATACACACACTATTACACCAAAAAATACACAAATATACATTAATACACCAAAACATACACACACTAATACACAAAAAACATACATACGAATACACGACCCATGGGTCAAACCATGGCCCGTGACCCACAAACAAACTCATGGCCCACAATTGACCCCGATCTATTATGTGTGTGTGTGTGTATTTTTTTTATTAAATATATTTTAATTTTTGTGTCAGTATACGTGTGTGTATTTTAGTGTATTAATGTATATATTTTTAATGTATTAGTGTGTTTATGTATGTTTATGTTTTGGTGTTTTACTAATGTGTGTGCGTGTGTTTTGGTATACGAATGTGCCTATTAAAAATTTTAATTATTTTATGGGTTAATTAGTTTAACCCAACTCGTTATTGAGAAATAGATTTGATTTATTTTAGTCCAATCCAATTTGACCCAACTCACACATTTGCCACCCCTAGTGGAGAACTATTGTAACTTTTAATTTTAATCTTTACCTCATTCTTTTCATTTCACATACAATGTAATATATCAACAAAATTTATATAATTTGAAGGACACATGAATATTTTGTAAATATTATCTATTATCATATATCCAAAGAGTTTAAATGAATGAATTATTCTATAATCTAAGCAACAAATACTTATAAGCAAACAATGTAGTTAAATGTTGGTTGTTATTCCTTTAATTAATCACATTTATTTAGTAGATGTACCACCATAGTGAGACAATAGGTAATTTTTAAAAATAAAAATTATTAATGTTGTTTATTATTTTTAAAAAATGATAGTTATTACATAATAGTAAAAATATAGGGAGAATTACACTCAGATCTCACGAGGTTATTACTTAATCACTTAGATTCCTGATAATTTAAAATATTACACACAGACCCTCTGAAATTTGTATTACAGCCGTAAATATATCCAATAATAAATTACACTTAGACCCCTTGAAATTTTTAAACATATATTACTTAGACTCCTTAAGTTTAAAATGTTATATTTAAACCAAAAATACTTTAATTAAAAATAAAATATCAAATATTTTAAATTTTATAATTAGAATTCATGTTCTATTGTATCATTTTATTGAAATAAAATTAAAAATCAAAAATTATTTTTTTAAAAAGATCATAATTATTATACAATTATATTATATATTAGAAATTAATTTGATCGTTTAAACGATCAAATTAAAATACCAAACTTCCCCAATTAAAGCTAAAATATATTGTGTTCATTACAGTTTGACCCATTGTTTAATTTTTTAGTTTTATTCTAAAGATAATATAATTGTATATTAATTGCGATTTTTTTTTAAAAAAAACTAGATATTTATTTTTTATTTGATTTCAATAAATGACGTAATAGAATATGAATTTTATAATTGTATACTAATTACGATTTTTTAAGAAAAAATTAATTTTTTAAGAAAAAATTAATTTTTTATTTTTTATTTTATTTCAATAAATGATACAATAAAACATGAATTTTGATTGTAAAATTTAAGATTTTTGAAATTTTATCTTTGATTGGAGTATTTTTTGTCTAAGTATAATATTTTAAACTTAAGGAGCCTAAATATTGTATACCTACAAATTTTAAGGGGTCTAAGTATAATTTATTAACTGATATACAGGGAGTTTGTGTATAATATTTCAAATATCCTGGAGTCTGAATAATTAAATAACAAATCTCATGAGATATGAATGTAATTCTCCCAAAGTATAATATACATGTGTGTGTATATATATATATATATATATATATATACACACGCGCGTATATCCCGATTATATCTATATCTTATTTTTTTATTTTTACTGTATTGTCATAGTCATATCATATTATACTGGTATCTTGTCTACGTATCTGTGCATTCCACGTTTGCACTCGAGTGGTCGCCCTTCCTTTGCAACATCTCTACCCACGGAGTAATGGACCTTCCTGTGTCAAACACTACTCTGCTGGCAACATCTCTACTGATGGGTTTTTACTAACTGGTGGAAGGATTAGGCCACCTTTGTCTGTTTATTAGTTTGATCTCACCAAAAAGAAGTTTGAAAAGTTTCTAATTGACAAGTTCCCATTATCCCCTGCTTTAATCGGAAAGAATGGGAACTAGCTAGGAAGGGCGGCAGGGGGCGGAGCCAACATTGTTCTTTAGTGGGGGCAACTTGAAAGTTAAAACTCGTTGATTGGTTAAGACTTAAAGTCAATACTTAGTCCTTCGGATCAAAAAAAAAAAATACTTGGTCCTTGAATTTTTAACAAATACCTTCTAAGAAGCATAAATAACTAAAATAAATCAAACGAGTTTATCAGAAAAAAATCAATATATTCCAAGTCTATTAAACCAAAGTAAGACAAGAAAAATTTAATCAATTACAAGTGGAACAATTTAATCCAAAGTATAATCCATAAAAGGCAAATTCCCAATACTTTGATACAATATTTAACATAAACTAATTAAAACTCAATAAAACGATAAGCCTTCAATAGTTCAACCTCATGAGTTGTATTAAAATTAAATAGCTATGACACCATATAAATAAATCAATTCTAAAGACCCGAGTTAATAACATATTATAGAGATTCCTCCAAGAGTAGCACTAATAAAAATAATGTATTGGTATGAATACTCGGTAATCAAGGTTAATGCACATCGACGAACCATTCCACTTGAAAATTTCAAGATTTCAAATAGTTCAAAATTGTAGCCCGTTTGAGCTTGGTCAGTGAATAATTTCTATAAGGCCTCCCTCCCGTGTAGTCATGATTACTAGCACACTTTGCTCATTTTCTCATGGCTTTTGTTTGTGGCATTTTAACAAACATTTAACAAACAACAATGCTTTGGAAAGAAAACAAGTGCTTTTTTCTTATAGACCACAATATTTTGTTTCTCATAAAATAAAAAGATTCAAAAGATGATCAAATCTCCAAAAGTCTAAAAAACTTTTGATGGGTTATTGGGTTACCTCTTCACAGCTCCTCTATAGAGTCTTCTTAGACGTGTGGTGTTGAATAAACCTGTAAAAAATGCATTCTCATTATACCTGTAGACTAATTGATATACCAACGATTTATGTGTCGAGGTGTCTGAATTCGTTGTAATGGGCATTAAAGGTCGCAAGTTCTACACAAAGGAGAACAAAGTTCAATTCTTCCACTCTACCAGTCTAACACACAAACTCAGACATCCGAGGAAAGCAAAAGAGGACAACATGTTTCCAACCGAAATAGTCAGATAACTAACAAGAGATTTAGGAGATATTCCCAGTCAGAAAATATATATAAAAAAAAAATAATGTAATAAAATACAATCATCATCACAACCTTCGTGCTGATGTTGTCAGTCAGCGCATCAGACTCGAAATATGAGACAGATATACCTGACGGCAGCCTATAGCAAAAAGCATAGAATAATAAATTTTAAATACATAAAACCCTCAATAATAAAAGATTTCTTTAACTCCCGAGAATAATGTTTGAGGTAGATATTTGTGTACCATTTCAATTTTAAATTTGTATCCCCAAACTGTGAAAACTTCGTTGCCAATGGTGAAGACATGGAGCAGTTGCTATCTCTTTCCATTCTTTTCGCTAGTTTCCTTGGACAGGTGGAAAATTTTTAAAATTGAAAAAAGGATTATTTTAGACTTTAATTATAGTGAGCCAGATTTTTTACAAATGTTTAAAAAATGTAGACTTTTTTCATGGAGATTTCTAATATCTTGATATCACATTCCGTCAATTTTTCACTGATTTTATTGGTTTGGCGTTTGAATTTCAAAACTTCTCACTATCCGCAATTTCGATTTCCGTTTTCTGTGGAAGATAAGCTTCGTTGCCGGTTGATTTCCAAATCGGTATCCCACAACAGTTATTATTAAGAGCAAGGGTAGGATAGTTTTTCAAACATGAAGGTGGACTTATACACAAATTGTTTTATAGTGGACTTCCGGCCCAATAATTCTTAATATGTGTACGGACCCACCTTTTTCCCAAAAACAAAAAGGCTAGGCCCACTTAGTATTAAAAAAAGTTGAGCCCACTAAACCACCATCCATTTCTTGTCTACAGTATTGTTAAGTGTCCATAACTCACTTTCCCCTTCTTTTTTCTCCTTCTCTCTCTCTCCCAGCGACAAACGTGCAAAAGGCTTGAAATTGGTTACAGATAGAATTTTCGGTTCTATGTGCATATTATGCTATTGATAAGACAATTGTTGCTATTTGTAAATGGGCCCCATTTTTTATTTTTTATTGGGTAAATTGTAAAAGGTACACCAAATTAGACTTATTTTAGCACAAAGTCCACACTAATAAATATAGGATTATTAAGTACTTAATTTTGATACTTATTTATATCCAAGTACATGATTTGAATTTATCTATTTTTATTGTGACATTTTTGTCCTCCATTGGTGAATGTTTTTTTTTATTGAAAAGAGATTAGTTTTTAAATTATATTTGTGTATTAAATAAGTCCTAGTTTTATGGGAGAGAAATACAACACTTTCCAATAAATTTTCAAATTTTAAATATACTTAAATTTATCCTTTTTTAAGAGGAAAATATACGCTTGTTTTTTTCTTGGAAAAGTTGGGTATATTCCTTCATCACCTGTAAGACGATTTTGCTTCTTCTTCAAGCCTTGAGGCCAGTTATGCTTTTTCTCCATCCAGCTGCAAGCCGATATTGTTCTTCATCGACATTATACTGGTATTTTTAAGGATGAAGCCTTGAAACAAACACTTGTATATTTGTGCATGAAGCAGAGTTTTTTCAAGAGTGAAGCCGATTTTCTTTGTCACCTGCGAGACGATTTTAACACTTTACACATTTAATTTTTATCTTCTTCTACTTCCATCTGCAAGCCAATATTATTCTTAAAACGTATGTGTTTGAGATTTTGTTTCAACCAAAGACTGAAGCATTTAGCCTGACAATATCATAATAGAAATTACAAGGTATGTTATATTTAATCTATTAGCATACTAAATGAATATGTATAAATTTTTTCAATTTTTATTTGTTTAGATATATGTTTTTTATTTGACTTTTTGTTGTACCTATTTTTTTAATAGTTTGTTGGCAATGGAGGAAACGGTGTTGCTATTATGTACATATGGTAATGCTGCTAAAGTATTCAAAGTAGGTGATAATTCAAATTTTTCGGAGCTGATTCGCGAAGTTTGTGAGATGTGGGAGGAGTTGTTTAACTTGTCAGTACATATGTCATATTCTATTCTTGGTCACCCCTCGTGCATATTACGAACCGATGCCAATTTGAAGAATTTGGTTGAATTGAAATGTTGTTTCCCAGGGAATTACGTTGAAGTTAATGTGTTTGTGGAAAATACCGAGGGTGGATCGGTGGGTGGTGATGATTCATTGCAGTATGTGAATATTGGTGATGTTGTTGAATGTGAAGTGAATTTGTTACCCAGTTTTATTGGTCACAATGAGAAAGTTCTTCGAACAGCTGGGTGGAGTAATGAAATACGGCACGTAGAACAAAAATTTGAAGGTGGTGTGATACAGTTTCGGGAAGCACTTTGCAAATACTTAATTGAGTCTGGTTTTGAATTTAATTATGTAAGAAATTGTTATTGTTGAATGTTCATTTAAGTATTCTTCTAGGTGTTGGTGGCATATATATGCCACTGTGAAGAGATCTACTGATTTTTTTTATATTAGAAAATTGGATAACAAACACATTTGTGGTGTGGATCTACGAACGACAGATAACAAGCGAATGAGTTCTAAATTGGTTGCAAATCTTATTGTTGGTCGTGTTCATGGGCATAGCATAACACGTCCAACGGAAGTGATTGCTGATTTTTTTTTTCTGATTATGGACTCATCATTTCTTATGATAAAACATGGGAAGGAGTTGAGAAAGCAAAATGTATATTTTTTGCGGACCATTCATTATCGTACCAACAATTACGTTGGTATGTTGATGCAGCAAATCGTACTAATCCGGGCAGCCATATTGTGTTAGATTGTGATCATGATACTAATCGTTTCAAAAGGCTGTTTGTTTCCTTTAAGAGTTGTATTTATGAGTTTAAATATAGTCGTTCACTACTTTTTTTGGATGACATTTTTTTGAAAGGCAGGTATAGATGTAATCTTCTATCGGCTACAGGACAAAATGGCAACCAATGTATATTTTAATAAGGTTCTTTGAATGATAAATTTTGTGGTTAAATTGTAATCTTTATGTTATACTGTCTTTGTTACACTCTGTTTGTTGTATTGTTACACTTTCGTTGTTACACTCTATTTGTGTTATTGTTACACTGTTGATGTTACACAATGATATGAAATAGTGGATTATTACCATTTATCACCCAAAAATATTTTTGAATTACCATCTCATCTGTTACACTGTTTTTTATTTTAATTTTCACTAATATTGTATGTGCTGCATTTTTCCAGGTTTGTTTCCTTTGGCATTTGCTATGGTTGACTCGGAGAATGAGGCAAACTAGTTTTGATTTTTAGAATAGTTGTCTAATATATTGGATAAGTCTCGGGTTGTTACATTTGTATCTGATCGCAACTTGGGTCTGTTAGAGGCAATGCCTAAAATTTTTCCAAATGCTCATCATGCATTTTGTTTGCAGCATTTGAAAGGTAACTTGCGGGATAAATTAAGTGGTGGTCATTTTTTCAATGTATTTCGAAAACGCATGGTGAGATTGTTACGTGAGTGTGTTTATGCACCAACACAGTCACTTTTTAATGAGAAGATTGAAGCGTTTCGTCGTCAAGGAGGTTCTAATGTGGACAGGTTCCTGTCTAATCTTCCATATGAACACTGGACAAATGCTCATTTTTCAGGGAAGCGTTATGGTGAGATGTGTTCTAATGCTACCAAATCGTTTAACGCGTGGATTTTGAAAGCTCGACATTTACCTATTACTAGCATAGTTGACACAATTAGAGGACAGATAATTGATCAAATTGGTCAAAGGATGAATATATGCTCGGATTGGAATGATAATTTATGTCCTAATTTGTTTTCGAGATTATAAGCTGCATTTGATGAGGGGAGGTCATAGACTGTGCGGGTTTCGAATAACCAAGTGTATGAAGTGATGTCATATCTTTCGGTCACCGTTGATATTGTGAATGACACGTGTTCATGTCGTCAGTGGCAAATAAATGGGTTCCCTTGTTCACATGTGGTTTCTACAATACGAAAGAGTGGACGGAATATCAACGAATTTGTTAATTATTACTATCATGTCAGCACGTACAAATGTCATATTCTAAACCAATTTATCCAGTACCAACTGTATATCGTGATAAAAGTTTGGATGTGGATGTTAATATTTTACCACCATGTACGAAGAAGCAACCTGGTAGACCAAAGAATCGTAAAATTCGGTTTAGGGGAGAAATCATTAGGCGAATTCGTTGTGGCCGGTGTGGGCGTTTGAGTAGTCACAACAAAAAATCTTATAACGAGCCATTGTAGATTGGTTTAATGCTATCATTTAATGACATTGTTTAATGTTTTAAGTTTTTATAATGTGTTTTTTTCCTTATTGGTTTGGTTTGTTTGTTTTAGATAATTTTTCAAATTGTATGTATATATATTATTTTTTTATGGATTAGTCGGTATGCAACCAACACTGGTCTTGTATAGTGATTTAACACACTGTTTTTGAACATTTTATTGAATACATGTTAAATGTTACCCTTTGAATGTTTCTCTGTTACACTTTCCACATTACCCTTTGACATAGTATCCGTTAATCAACAATGAAAAAACACCTCTTTTTTTTATTTATTTATTTTTATAAATAGAAAAATTTATTGCTTTATCTATACAAAAAAATATTTACAAGAAGCAAAGAGGATAAGCCACACGTTGGCTTTAATCTTTCAAGACAACAAAACCATTCTATATTTTGTAAATCAAGAAAAACTACAATCTTTCAAAATCCAAGTAAAACCAGTAAATATGGCAGCACCCCACATCTTCCCATATATAACCATTAAAATTACAGACCAGCAGTACACTCAACACAACAGAATCTGATCAGTAAAACGCACATCACATCAACCTACCTCCTTCCAATATCTCATCAGCACATGCAACAAATCAGCAGCACAAAATTCAGCACAACTTGCTATTTGGACAACATAAGATGCCAAGAAAGCAGCAACAAGAGTCCATATGACCTTAGTCATCATAAAATAAGCTGAATTGATTCTTAAATCAACTAACA